TATATATATATATATATATAACTTTTTTATATATGCATATTTCTGGAGCGATTAAATTATTTTTGTACACGGGTATCCAATTCTATCTGCACGCCTCTGGATTAAACGGTATGCAGGGAAATAAATAAATGAGAAAACAAATATTCACGGTCAATATACTGACGCAGCAACCATTCCGGTTTTGCGTCAAACTATTCAAGTAGAAGGGAGAATAAAAGGCTCTACAAGGAATCTCAGTAAATCAGTATACGACTACACCGCGCCGTGCATCAATCAGCTTAACAAATCGATGTATTCCGATTAGATTTTGCTAAAGTAGACTGGTTGTCCTTCGGAAAGTGTGCTTGTTAAAAGGGCGAAATAAAGACAGATAAGGGGGCGAAAAAAAGCGAGAGATCAAATTTGATGAATTGATGCAGGCGGTAAAAATTTGGAGAAGATAAGGAGATCTATTGTGTATTCGTGTATGTAAAAAACTAATTAAGAATTAATTCAAGGATAGCAATTTAATAAAAATGATAGAACATTTTCTATTCGCAAAATTGTTTCTTTTGACAATACTCTTCACAAATGTTTGTGAGAATGCCGCTTATAAGCCTCCAGAGGCTAAAGTGGAGCCTCTTCATCCCATGGGACTACGCATATCTATTCCTGGTAAACTAATAAAATTCTAATTACTAAATAGTATATCCATTTATATAGGATATTTGGTACTTAACAAATAAATAATCGAGCTAAAATATTGTAGATATACAGAGTATTTCAAAATTCGCGCCCGCGAAATACAAGATGTGATACTTTATGCTAAAAGAAACAACTTTTTCCTTTTGTAAAATTGTCTACAGGAAAAAGTTATTCGTTTTAGCACAAAAACAACTTTTTCCTTTAGCATAATTGCATCCGATAAGTAGTTTTTGCAGGAGAGCAGATTGAAGTTAATAAATAATCACAAAAATTATTTATCGGACGCAATTTTGTTAAAGGAAAAAATTATTTGTTTTAGCATAAAGTATCACATCTTCTACTTCATGGGCGAGAATTTTGAAACATCCTGTACGTAAATATAATTTTGCAAGTTGATTTGATATTAACAGAACAGAATTGATTTGTAATTTAAAATTACGATTGTTTTGTGGCACCGCATATTATCTGTTCAGCAAATAAATTATAAAGGGTGTTTAAGTAACGATAAAACTCTCGCATAGGGGTAGAGCTAAACTGAATCGAAAGTCCTCTACTCTTTTGAAATTTTCGCAATAGTTAACAAGATATCAATTAAAAATCACCGAATATTGGTTTTCAATAATTTTTTACTCAAATATTATTAACTTTATAGAAAAACAGCAAGAGACAAAAATTGTTTTTTTTTTTCTCATAGAGCTCTAAGAATTTTTTTAGAATTTTTTATCAACTTTTTTATACTGTATTTTCTTATATATGTGCGCGCGCGCGTGTGTTGGCAATTATTTTTACCAACATGAAAAAAATGCGGTACTAAAAAATTCTGAAAATATTCTCAGAACTCTATGAGAAGAAAATTAACAATTTTTGTCACTTCTTGTTTTTTTGTAAAGTTGATAGTACTTGAGTAAACAATTATTGAAAACCAATATTCGGTGCGATTTTTAGTAATTAATAAATATCTTGTTAACTATTGCGAAAATTGTAAAATGGTAGAAAACTTTTCGACTCAATTTAGTCCGCACTACCTCTATGCGAGAGTTTTATTGTTACTTATCAAACACCCTGTATATTATAATCAAATTGGAAGATTGTATTTTTTTAATGGGAATAACATTTTTTTTTTTTTTATAGATGAACATGGAATTACGTTGGTAGCTTTCCATATAAACATCAATGAGGATTTTGATGGTTTAGAAGCGGGACGTTTTGCAAAAGATATTCTCAAAATTCGAAATGGACGATGGACTTTCCAGGACAAGCAGGTTCAATTAAAACGAGATGATATTATCTATTATTGGGTTCACGTTGTATATCAGGGCCTAGGATACAATCTGATTGATCAATCACATCGAGTTACCAGTAAGTTTTTTATAAATATATACATTTTTCTATTTATATTTAATTACAAATAATTTATTTTTTTATTATGAACAAATCTCAACGATAATAATGAAATGTTTTATTATTGTTTATTTATAATTTGTTTTATTTATTTATGTTTTAATTTGATTTATTTGAAGAAACAATTATTAGATATGCAATTGTTCGTAATTTTTTAAATTGTTTAAAACACTCTTTGTTTTATTTTCAGATTTCTTCAACTCTGACGGTACTCAGTACATCGGTAACACGACTCAAAGTCCACAGAGCTGCACTACGACGTCGACTACATGGATATCTGAAAAGGGCGAACAACGACAGGCTTGTCCAGGTCAACTCATCTTTGAGGATAACTTCGATAATCTCGATAGCGCAAAATGGAATGAGTGGAAACGTTTTTCCGGTTCGCCGGTATGTATCACCGCGAATGCAGATAATAAGTTTATTTAAAAAACCTTTCGTTTAAAATTATTATTTTCGCTATACAGAATCATGAATTTGTCGTCTATATGACCAATGATGTAACAGATACAAGCGATGGATTACTGCGCATTAAACCTGTCCTACTTGATACTAAATATGGCAAGAACTTCGTATCGAATGGAAGAATAATAATGGAAGAGTATGCGGATAATTAAGGAATTAGGAAGATAGAAGATTAAAATTAAATATTCAATTATTTTCTTTTTTTAGTTGTACGGGCAGAATTGGTACAGATGATTGCCAACGTCAAGCTGCTGGTTCATACATCTTGCCTCCTCTGATTTCTGGACGAATTAGTACAGAGGGAAAATTTGAATTTCTCTTTGGGCGTGTTGAAATAAAAGCCAAATTGCCACATGGTGATTGGGTATTTCCTGGTAAGTTTGTAACTTTTTACAATCAATTTTTTTTACTTGAACTATTGTAAATATGTATTTTGTAGTGATAACATTGCATAATGCCGAAAATACATTGGACAATACATTGGAATCCAGATTGCATCGCGAGATTAGGATTGCATCCTTGATGGGCAACGAAGAACTAAGGACTCCCAATGGTGAAACTATCAACAACCGCATATTAGCTGCAGGTGGATTGATCGCATCCTGGAATGAAAGTAACGCGAAATTGTTGTCCAAAAGGCGATCGAGCGAATCCTGGTCCAAAAATTTCCATATCTTCGAAATTGAATGGAAGAGCGGCCTTATTATAGTGAAGGTCGATGGAGTGCAGTACGGGGAGCAAACCGTAGACATACCATTTAGCAAACCGGTATTGAAATTGTATTATATTTTTCTTTGTTGATAGAGACTTGTATCATTTGTTTTACTAAATCTCGTAATGATAAAAATGTGATACCATTTATTGCAGTCATATTTGACTCTGGGTGTAGCCGTTGGAGGTCTTCACGAATTTGAGGATAACGTCGTGAGTAGCGGATATACCAAACCTTGGCGAAATGTCGAAGCAAAGGTATGTTATTAATATTTAACATTAAATTTTTTTAAAATTTAAGGAGTTTGAGAGAGCTATGCCAAATAAGCTAAAGATTTTAACAAATGAATGCAATTAGCATATTATTCTTTACAGGCATTGTACAACTTCTATCGCGCGAAAGATAAGTGGTATCCTACATGGGATACAACAACAGCGCTTGTAGTGGATTATGTGAAAGTGTGGGCATTGTAAATACTTTCGTCTGTACGAAAACATACTAGCATAACATATATATTTTTACAATCTTAGATACATTCTATACGCGTGTTTTTCTTACTAAATAACACGTTTATGAGTTTATCAATGACAACATTTTACTTGACTCATATATATTATATACAAATAAATAATAACGCGCAGACTGATTTGTACTTGATGATTATTTTGTATTCTACAGTTCTGGCTATCCTACTCCTATTAGTAACTTAAACTAAGGGAATTCTACCGATTGTATTCGAATGCACTTGCGCTGCGGATCAAATTACTACTTCTAAAGGGAATTGGAGGAGGTATTAAGAACGTATTAGGCACATGTCGCCTATATAGAACATCGGGATTAAACCCGTTCCCTAATTGTTTAACAAGCCATTCTCCGCGATATCCGAAACGCTGTTGATATACTTTTGCAGCGCGTGGTCCATCCTCGGGTCTGAACTCGATGTGCATGGGCTCCTCGGTATTGAAAGACGCGAGACGTAACAAACTCGTAATACCGTTCCTGGTCCATTCCTGGAGCTGCGGTCGACTGGGCCAGAATTTTGGAAAAATTGAAACATTGTTTCTGTTGCTGAACAATGCTTGCAGCCATGCGAAGAATGACGAATCAAATGTCCTGGCGTTTCGTATCAACATTCGATCACTGCACCATGCATTTGTCTATTCAAAATAACAATTACATTTTCGTTTTTATTAATAGAAAATTTAATTGAATATTTAAGTGAATTCTACTAATTCAATACTAACATTTTAAGTGCAAGCTCGTTTAATAAGAAGTAAAAACAATTACAAGGTAAAATTAAAATTTGTTTTAATTGAATCAGAGAAGCAAATAAATATATATGTACCTTTTCTTACGTATTTAATATAGATCACTTACCGCGCAAAGGATGATCATTAAAAGTATTTTATCAACGTGCATGATTTGTCGAAATTGTGCTCATTGCAGAAGTAATTGCTGGAAAATAATGAACGACTGGGACTCCATTCGGATTTCGTCTGGCTTTTATGTCCTCCCGTCTCACATCCCATAGGAAATTCGTGATTCGCATTAAGTATCGATTCATGAATAACCAATTGTCATTCACAAGAGGATTTAATGCGACTTTTTAAATTCTCGCGCGTCGTTAAGCGCGCGATCGAGTTTTTACTTTCACTGTCGGTATTACGATAGACTACGAATATTTTCAACATGTATAAGTCGGATTACAGAATAAATTTCATAGAGTAGAGTCATTTCGCGTCGATAGCGATACCATTCCTGGAGTGAACTGAGCCATGTGTAAACTGAGACATAATCAAATATTGGTTGGTTTAAAAAAATTACAAAGAATCAAGTGTAATCAAATGTGATAAAAACTTTGAGATTCTTGTAAACAAAAAAATGTTTATTACGAAGTATCTAAGATAATTTAATTTAGTGTTATATGTATTAATAAATTTATATCAATAATACAAAAAAATAATGTGTAATAATTCAAATATAATTAAATTCTTTAAATATATTTGTGACGGTAGTAATTTCAATTATTCGTTTTTGTAATAATCTCTTTACTCTTTCTGTGCATTCTATTATAGATCATTGTGCTGATGACATTATTACTTCATAGTGAAATTATTGTGTCAGTCACAGACGCTACAGTCTACAGATTGCTGTATGATTTGGTTCAAAATAACGTTGCAGGCATACCTATTGTGCATGAGGTAAATATACATATACATAATATATATGACATAATTTTAGTTCATTTATTTTTCTTGCTTTACTTTTACCTAGAAAACGGAATGGAACTTTGATCCAGACATTGGCAAGCAAAGAAGGATTCAATATGAGCAAGAAAACGGACGTTTTGGAGAATATGCGATAGCAAAATTAGGAATGGGCATTGGATATAAAGGTCCTTGGGGAGATCCAGTGAAAAGTTAAAATATTAAACTAGTAAGTAAATATATATATTTTTTAACATAATATAAAAATTTTGTTGACGTGATATATACTTGATCAAGTCCGGCGTAAATAATTTACTAAACTAAAAAAAAGTGAAACTTTTGATTGATTATACAATATTTATAATTACAAATACTCACGAGACAATTTTTTAATTGCATTATCAATATAACAAATGTGCATGAGATGATTAAAGAAAAGTGATTTTTTTCTTTCATTTTAGCACAAATTTTGACAAATTATCTCACTAAATTCATTTTGATTAAATATTTGCAATTAATTAAACTATATATATATATATAGAAAGAGAGAGCATATTAGAGCATTATATATCTCAATATGTTTTAATCAATAACATCGGTGCAATTAAAAATAATTAGAAGTTTAAAGAATATGATTTCCTCTCTTTTAGCATTTCTGTTTTAACATTTTCTTAATTACACTTTAACACGTACGTGCAATTTGCAATCAAGAAAATGTCATTTTCACTGACATTTTTATCAATCCTTTCAAAACGCATATTTTTCGGATGTTGCGAAAATTTCACGGTCGACGCACATTTCAGATGTAGCAATCAGTGTATGTGGCACAGCGTATCTCAGAACTTTCACTTTACAAGGGGAAAGAACTGGAAGTAGTAGGGGAACTAAGAAATTTAGACTGAGTTCTGATACGAATCTAGAAGCGTACAGCGATCAGTATTATCTTGTAATATTTGTTAAATTGATTAGTAATTGGTTAAAGATAACGATTAATAATTGTTTCACATCAAAAGAAACTTTAATTTTACACTATTTTCAAAATTTCTTACTATTAAACAAGAAAAGAAATTTCACATCTGGTCATTAATCATGGCGAGTTTTACCTCTGTAAGTAAGAAATGATAAATGGCATTACTATATACAATGAGTGCAAAAAGTATTCGAACGGAGAAAATATTTTTTAAAAAAACTTTATTTTTTTAAAAAATAAATATCCAACGAGAAATGAGTTATCGAATTGATGTCAAATCGATATAAATACGATGATTTCAACATCAATTTGACGTCAATTCGATGTTTAATTGAATTATATAAAATATATTTGAAAAATTGAATGCTCAAAAAGTATTCGTATAGACGAGAAATTTAGCTTTTAAAATCAGGAATACATGCGAAGATCGTATGTTTATATTAGAACAGAATGTATTCATTGTATAAAATTGCTAATTGTTTATCTACAATGTTTATTATCTACAAATAAGACTTTTTTTATTATGAATTTTCTTGTACGAATACTTTTTGCCCTCACTGTAACTGCAAATATAATTCTTTTGCAATTTAATAAGTATAATTATTTTTCTTGAATATCGAATAAATTATTTGAAAATTTAATTAATAACCGTCATCTAGCGACTTTCTAATCGCTAAGTTTTAACGCATTGCGTCTCATGTCAGTTGAATTTCTTTTAAAAGCTCTGTCCTTAATATTAAATATAGTTATTTTATTAAAAAAAAATTATACGTTATATATGAAAAATAAGACAAACTTTTTTTTGTTTCATTATCATTATTTTACGAAATTTTATTCTCTATTTGCAGAGGCTGACGATGATAGCGTTAACAATAGTCGCTATCTGTTTTTTCACTCTAATCGATGAAAGTACAGCTGTACTCGCGGAACCTCAAGCACCTAATTTTCAATATTTCGAACGGTAAGTAAAGCAAATATCTCAATAGAGAATAAAAAGTTGAAAAAAATTAATAAATTACTTTAGCATGAAATATCTGTACGATTCCGATTGTTCTTGTTATTATGCAGAACCTGCCAAGAAAATCTCTTGATTGAAAAGTGATCTGATTACTTTTTTAGACCAAAATATCGCTACCCCTTTTACGATGAAAATGGCAAAGGAAAACTGCTCTACGGATATGGTGGGCCAGAATTGTATCAGTATAAAACTTATAGTGTTCTTGAAGGAATTCATTAAATGATCATTTTAAATTCTTAGAAAATTGAATATAAAATATCTGTATACATATAACGTAACATATATAGACATGGTGTGATTAATTCATTAATATACTCATGAAACATTAATTCAAATATATCTGTATAATATAACACACGAGTATCTTTTCGATGGCACAATTGAATTATGTTACTCGAATATAAATTAGCTATTATATATGCTACTTGGGGAAATAGTACATTCGTTGTTGGTGCAATTTGCATTATATTACCTTGCTATCGAAAGGATACGTTCGCAATCGTGGAATTAATAAGGAACATTGTAAGAGCATTTATTTTCGCCGATTACAACTGTATAATAAATGCAATCGATTTGTGTATGGCTGGTTTTAATTACAATGTGTTTACCTCTGACTTATTTTTTACTCGGTAAAATGCTGTATGATTCGCTTCTCCTTTAACGTGAATTGACTGACAATAAAGGAAATGGTAAAATACTTGTTGCTGAGTGAGTTTTAAAAACTGTTACAATATTTAGAAAAAGGTGTAAGATAGAATGATTCAGTGCAAACATTGCTTTGGACTGCAGTCTCTAAGACTATATTACAGACAGAATATATCATTAAGTCATTGATCTAAAAAACGTGCATGGAATGTGCAGTAGCCACGCTATTATCTATGAAATGGTGACTTATAGTCTCTTTGTAGATACAATAATCAAATATAGTCTAAAATAGCTACAGTCTATATAACCTATTATTTATTGGTACCAAAATGTTTTTTTCTGTCCTTTTTCTTTTCTACGTGCACAATATACTGGGAAAAATAGAATCGACAATTTGTAAATGGTAAAAAAACTGCAGTCACACTGCGCAATCGATACATTACACAACTGTCATTGAAAAGATATTATTATTCTTCTATTTTATGATAGAGGTGCACATGTGACAAAATTACGAATGTGTGCAAGCACAGTCGAGTAGATGTGAGTTAGCGAGACGTAATATGTCAATTATAAACGAATGCGATCGACTGCATATTGATGCCGAGCGATAATTGATGCGTTTATTCGTTATGATCTTTGTCCGCCTTGCTCTCGCCGGCAGACTCTAACTGTCATACAAAGTCCATTTCGAACTTGTTATAATACTGGCCATTGACGCGACGTCTCTGCAGTTGTCTTTCAATGAACTTCTTTATCTCACTAATGACGAAGACACTCGATGTCAACGTCGCCAAGAATAGAAGATCTGAAAATTAAAAATAAACATGTTAGGAAAGAAATATACATCGACTATTTTTAACGATATCTCTAATATAATACCTTTTGCAGTAAGAGCTTCAGTTTGAAATATTCTCTGCAATGGAGGGAAGTAGATCACAAACATTTGTCCGATGACAGAGAGCGTTACGGCTACCAGGAACATTTTATTACTCCACAAACCGATTGTGAATATGGATTTCGTCTGAAACAAATGTTTTTAGACTGTAGTAATATTTTTTCTTGATATAATAAGATATGAAATAAAAATATGAAATCTCACTTGTGATCTACAGCTAAGAGCATTGAACATGTCAAAGAATACGAAGCAAGTGAATGTCATGGTAGTATCTCTCGCGGTATTCCCATTAACCATCTGGAAATTAAACATACATATACATATATAATC